AATGCGTAACCGAGTAGTTGTCGAGCCACATCTTCAATTCCAAGAAGGTATCGAACTTAGACCCTTTAGCAATCCCGTTCTTGCCGTCATCCAAATCAAGGTGAGATCTTGGCCTAACCCCAAGAGATATACCTTGGCCACCATCTACCACGGCTTCATCCGCGAGACTAACATCCTTGAACAATGTAGTGCGATGATCACGACCGAATACCTTCTCAAAAGCTTCGGCCTCCTTCACCGTGAACCCCTCCTCATCAACTTGTTCATCGGGACCTTCGTCATCCGAATCTGATGCATAGCCACGGGAATAAGGGATGGAATGGTCCATTGTCTTTTGCAAATGATATTTGTCGAGATCACCCACATTGTTGTCATGGAGATCAACTTCATTGTCATCGTCCGCATACTCATCATTCTCCTCTTGCAAAGCTTCATTTTGGTTGTTTGGAAACATGCTCAATGTTGGCCTCACTTCTTGGGTCAAAAGAGGTTCAACAATTTCATCTCGCTTCAAGGGTGGGGGGCTACTAGCAACCAAAGGGGAGGGGTTCCGGTTCAAGTCCAAATGCAAACTTGAATCAACCTTCTTTGTTGCAAATAACTCAAGAGCCTTGTCTAGTGATTCGGCTACCGTCTCCTTGTATGCAACCCAACGTTGCTCCGAGTTGACACACATTGTCTTCCAACGGATGTGCATTCCAAAACCAACACTTTGCCTTCCCTCCAACTCAATGATATCACTAGGGTCCATCCAATTCAACTCTTTCCTCACTTGTTCCAAGAGCTCCGCATAGCTATGACTACTATCAAACACCATGTCAAACTCATCCGGGTCCGGTTCAATATTGCCTTTCAAGAAGGCGTCTTTGTCCCCATGATGAACAAAGACACATGTTCTTCCCATCCCTATAAGCATTCAAACAACACAACGTAACATTGCTTCCATGAGTTATAATCCAATGATTAACACGGAATACAAACCCTAAAATACATATGAAACAACAACCCTAACCCTAGCACCAACATAAGAACACCCATAAGAATAACTCTAACATACTAACAAGCCTAATTATAGAAAATTGGCAAACAAACACCTCACATCTCCATGCAAATCTCTAGATCCATACAAGACTAGGGTTTCCCCAAACTAGCAACAAATGAGCAATTTGTTAACATTACTTGGATCAAAACAAGGGGATCGGACAAGATTACCTTGAGGGAGGGTTTGAGTACGAAATTCACGGACAAAATCTTCAAATTTGCAAGATTTGGGAGAGGATTTGAGAGGGGGAGAGAGAGGAAGAGGGGGCAAATCTCGAGTCGGATGCTATGGGGGTAGGGGTGTGTGTGGTGGGGAGAGTGGGGGCAGCCAACTAGTAACAGACAATGCAGTGCCTAAGGGCTAGGCGCTGCATATTATATGTGTGACGCCTAGCTCTGAGGCGCTACACTGCTGGGTGCGGGTCCAGAGTCTGCCACGATGGACAGAGGTGCAACGCCCCAGAGCTAGGCCCTAAACTGTAGGGTATGGCGCCTGACAAGAGCTAGGCCCTAAACTGTAGGGTATGGCGCCTGCATGTCAGGCGCCACACAAAAAGGTCAGCCGCGTAAAATAATTTTACAGACAGTTTATTTTATAATTTGATTTTGTCCATATGTCAAAATTTTCAAATTTGCCGCAAGCTACGCATTACCGGATTCGTCGGCCGCGCCCAAGCCGCGACGCACGCCCTCAAGCGGCAGCCTCTGTTCCTGCTACGGTGTGCCGGCCCGTGAACTGGACGAGGACAGGAGAATGGATGGAGACCAGCGTCATGCAAACGAGTGCCTGTCCCTGCATGTGATTTATGCATGCATGCATGCATATAACTAGCCTTTCATGTGGTTAATTTCCTCCATTTTCAATTTGGCCAATTTGGCCGGCCTCGAGTGAAGTCTGATTTAAACCTTGAGTTTGTAGAGCTCGTTCAAAATGAATCCTCATCTTTAAATGCGCCTATTGCCTCACCGCCTGCTTCTCCTGGCATGTGACCGGTTGGTCACAAACTTGCAAAATATCATGCTCGGGTGAGCAAACTTGGCACGATGTGGTGAAAAAAAATCGTTGGCCAATCATAATGCGCCGTTTGGCACCTATGTGGCATGCCAGTTGTTAGGACGAAACGGTCAATACTGCACATTTCACGAACGCCGTTCGCAGTGTTTTCATCGAACCCCGCTGATCATCGTGCGTGAAGCCAAAATTTATGGATTGAACTCAAATTAATGTTAAACTTTGAATCTAAATGTATGTGCTAGTTGTGTTGATTCCTGACAAAACTTTGAACCCTCCTAACATGCCAAAACGGGTAGGTTAGCCGAGGATGAGAACATAGGATATAAGAGTTAATGAACTTATTATTATTATTTTAAAAAAAGATGACCCTCGACCTCTGCATGATGGTGAAGCATGCAACCATTTTATTAATTATTCATTAAGATCTTACAAATTAATACATCAATATGGCTGTGCGGCAGGGCAGGCGGCTACACGTATGAGGTGGTCGTCCAGTATAGGGCTTAGGTTTTTTCTAGTGTTTTTTTTGTTAAACGGTGGAATTATCTACCTTTTTATGTAAATTATAACCAGACTTGAATGAATTCCGACATGTTTGCATAAATTTTGTCTGGTTGGTTCCAATTGTTGTTAAATGTATGCTGGTAGTGTTGGATGGCAGCTTTCGGTATCGGTGTTCGCTGACTGGTCCTCTGTCCGTAGACGGATGCCGGAGAAAATTTGCGGGTCAGCGTTGGAAATGTCCTTAGACCTATCCATGAAAGGAAATGAAGAACCTTGATCAGCATTTCTTCCATAATTTCATTCAAGCCTTGTAGTTTTAGTAGGTTAGTAGTGAGTCCTCAAGTTTTTGTTTCTAATCTAAACACCGCCAAAAAAAATCCTCAAGTTTCTAATAAGGTTGGGGGGCACGCCCTCTGCTGGCCTGGTCGTAGCTATGCAGAGTGACATGGAAAAGAAATAATTGCATTTCAGTGTCCTGTGACCGAACTTTGAGTAAGGTGCCTCCCTTGGTATTTCTGAAGCCTCACATTCCTAATCATCACTAGGAGTTTTGTGTTTACACAACTTCAAACCATACAATGCAATGAAACTACGTATATATGTTGGTAGAGGAGAGAGTAGATTGGTGTTGGAGTCTAGAGCTAGCTACTGCCTATTGCCGCATTAATGCTCCTATATCTCCTACAATAGCATGGTTAATAGTATAGCCAACAACCAGTTACCACATCATTTACAGCCAACCTAATAGTCAGCATGTATAGTTGCTTATTAATCAAAAGTACTACTTTATTAATATATGGTCCACTTTACACTCTCATAATATTTCTTGGAGTATGTATGTGCAGCTGGATGTTAAAGCATAGTCTGCTTATCTTCTTTCTCCCTTCTCTCATTCAACTCAGTGAAAATATAATACTTTAATCCTTACAACTTGCTTACATCACCTTATTGTACTCTGTCTCACTTCAGTAGTTGCGACGTGTGGTGGGCAGAGTAGTAGTGTGATAAAAGAAGAAACAATAGTACTATAGAAATTGGTGAATGGCGTGTGAAAGTCCTAACCGGAGCTTGAGCTCAAATGCTCTTGGCATGAACAGTAAAATCAAAGAAAATTTTATAAAATTCAAAAAAATCTGAATTTTATTTGTAGAAACATCAAGAAATTTTTCCATTGCTTGTTTTCATCATCATATCACATTTTTGGAAGTTGTGGAAAAAAGATAAAATCAGCGCTCCAAAATGCTTTCGAAAGTAGCACCTTTGGAGCATCAATTTTGTCTTTTTTACCACGGCTTCCTTGAAAGTGATTCCAAGATGAAAATTTGCAAGCAGACAAAACATTTCTTAATGTTTGCCACAAAAAAGGTAAAAAAAATTGAACATTTTCATTTTTTCGATTTTAGTATTCATTCGGGCTCATTTGAGACCAAACTAAGGAATCCCATTTCCCATGGAGTGTATATTTATTTCCGACATTACAAAACATATGCATACTGCTAATGATGTGATGTGCCACCTCATATCATGCAATTTTTCTTCGGTGAACAAAGCCAATAACGTAAAATTGCCCAGGGCTACAGCCCCGGCATGAAAGGGTTCTCGCTGCTGAACGCTGAGGAAGCCCAAGGTTGTCGCCTCAGAACAAAGAGATCGTCATCTGCACTTTGAGTAGGGCATGTGAGAAGGCGGCGCCTTAAGTCTCATGAGCCGGCTCATAACCCATGCCCTACTCTACCTTGCCGGCGACCAGACTAACACTCCGGGGAGCGCAGCCAACTGCCGGACAAGCTTCGCTTAAAGATCATTGTACGTTGCATGTAATCAATGGCGTAGCCAACACAACGCCACGCCCAGGGCCAGCTTCAGTGCTACAGGGCTAAACAGTACCAAACCGTCATATTATATGTACAATGAACGAAGAAAGTTGTTGCCACGCCCTGGGCCAAGGCCCCTGTTGCCCGGCTTCGCTACACCACTGTATGTAATAATATGGATTTGAGATTTGCAGGTATCCAGATGTGAAATGCATTATTTAAGACGTGACCGGTCAATGTTAGCGGACGCGTCCGGACGTGTCCACGGGTGTTTGAGGGGTCGGACTTGTCAAATCCGGCGGTAGATGCTCTCGCATGTTGTTCTGCCCATTCATCTGCACCGATGACACCAATATGCATACTAAATACATCACATTTGGCGCCACACGGACGCATTCAACTCCCATACAATTGCCACCACTCGCCAGCTGCTGTCGCTACCTCAGGCCAGAGATAAGAATCGTCGAATGGCAACGGTGATAACTACGTATACTTACGTGCCATGCATAGTGATTGTCGAGCTCTGTCCCTCCGAATATTACATGCAAAGCCAGAGCTAAAAGCATAGTACACAAGTCAGGAAAGCTATTGTAATCATTTCGCTAGGTTTAGCTGCTTACTCGGTGATGACTTCCAAGCAGACGCTCGTCGTCGCGATCGCCGTGGCCGCCCTCACCATCGCCTTCCTTCCGGGGCTCGCCGTCGCCATGGAACACGTGGTCGGCGACGACAAGGGCTGGGCCCTCGATTTCAACTACACGGCCTGGGCTGAGGCCAATCAGTTTGTGATCGGCGACACGCTAGGTAACTGCATAACCACTGAACCATTCCGTCCGCGCGTACGCTGGATCGCTCCTTCTTCTCTGCGACGAGAAACGAATTAAATTGCCTGCCTATCCCTCATGCTAATTATGTCGAGCGCAGTGTTCGAGTACGGGATCGCCGGCCACGACGTGGTGGAGGTGGGCGGGCCGGATTTCCTCGCTTGCAACCAGCCGGAGAACGCCGTCGTCTGGTCCTCCGGTGAGGACCGGGTCGCGCTCCACAAGGCCGGACCGCGGTGGTTCTTCTGCGGCACGGACCAGCACTGCGAGAGGGGGATGAAGCTCAAGATCACCGTCCTCGAGACCGCCCCACCGGCTCCCCAACCCAAGCCCCCGTTGGTTGCTCCACCGCCGTCCAGCCCCGCAGGCAAGCTGGGGGCGTGCTTGCGGGAGGCAGCTGCCGTGGTCACCGCGCTCGCCGTGGCCATGCTCGTGCTCTAGGCTCCTACTCCATCGACAAGGTTTCTACTACATATCTGACCCAGCGAGACCGTCGTGTTATTATACCGTTGTCAATTTGAGCCCTTGAATTTCTCTTCGGTCCAAGATTCATTTTTTTTCTTAGTATGAAGGTGTGAGTGTTTTTATTTATTACTGAAGCATTTAAAAACAGTGCATATCATATTGTTCCCTTGAAAATGGTTTTCTCTACATTTTTCTGCAACATTTTTTAATCCTGTTTTTTTTACAACACAAGCCCTCAAAGAGGGTTTTAAATTATGTTTATTTGCATCCCAAACAGTGTACAGAGATTAACTTTCCAAAAGGAAAAGATATAGAGTCTAAAGCCTGCTTGGTTTTACATTTAGAAGATTTACTGCATAAGATTGAAGGACTAGAAGAAGATCTTTGCATAAAAGCTTTCTTAGCTAGAGAATGGGCAATGAGTCAATGACATTGCAAGTCCTTGGGATAGACCTAATTTCACAAGTAGTAAAATGAGAAGATTGATTGAGAAATTTAGCAACTATTGTTCTTATCCGCCAATCTCCTTTTCAAAAAAAAAATCCGCCAATCTCCTGGGCTTTCCAAAAGATTCCTTGTTGTTGCCACTTGAACAAGATTTCTGCAATCCGAAAAGAAGACAGAACAGTCCCATCCTAAAGCTTTTAACCACCAAAGCTGATAGAGTTAATCCAAGAGCTTCAGTCTGCAAAACAGAAGAAACATTTCTCGCAGCTGCTTGAACAAATATAGTATGGTTATTAGCTTTATCTTTGAGATAAACTCCAAGACCCGCTTCTTCTTTTGCAAACACCGGATTGTAAGCAGCATCACTATACGCCACAATACCTACAACTTGGTGTATATTTGGAACCCGAAAGGGAGAAGCATTATTGTGTGTCTCTAATGCATTCTGTATCTCCAGCACATTGTGCGTCGCAACTGCAACTATTATATCTACTGCATTGCAAGCATTTTAGAGTGTGCTTGCCAGTTAAGAATCAGGTAATGCTAACCGAAAAGCTAAGTCGGGCAAAGAAATGGATCGCCACTATGTCATCTCCATTACCAGTTAAATGACTCGGAGTGGCACCTCTCCCTCACCCCACTCGCCCTTCCTCCTCCATTCTTCACCTTCCATACCGAGGTAACTAGCAAAGATGGCGCCACAGTTCCTATGCCGGAGCTTCTCCTTTCTTAAGCGGGCGGTGTTGTGGACACAACAAAGCATTGTAGGGTGCTGCAACTATCCAACGGTGAGGCCGTGGCAGCCCAGCCCAATGCATCGGCATATCTGGCCAGGTTCACGACGAGTGCTTGGCAGGGGGAGCTCCTATTTGGCACGGTGCGCGCAGGGAAACAAGCCAACGGGTACCCACCACTCCCCTTTTCGGCCGACACATGTGCGGGGCGGAAAGCCCCGTTTTTCATTTCATTTTTTGTTTTTCTTTCCTTTTCTATTCTTTCTTCTTTAAAATAATTCTGGATTCCAAACAAATTGAGATTTTTTTAAAAAAATTGAGAAATCATAAAATGTTCGTGAATTCAACAAAATTGCATGATTTTGAAAAACAAATGTTTGCATATTCAAAAAATGTTCATGATTTTGTACAAAATGTTCAGGAAATAAAAAAACATTCCAGATTTGAAAAAATATTCGCATATTTAAAAAATATTCGTGAATTTGAACAATTGTTTGCTAATTCAAAAGATGTCATGCATTTTTCGAAAAAAGTTCAAAAATTCTAAAAAAAATATCCGCGAGTTTTAAAAACCCTTAGATGGCCGGCTCCACCATCAATTTCCCCGGACTGGTCAGGACCATTCCACGGATGACAGTGTATCCATTTTATGGGTTCGTGTTGAAGGTGCTTGTTCCTGTTAATTTAAACAGTAAACCATTACCGGTAATTGAGAGAACGGCCTATCCTCTTGCCCCTGTAGAGAGTCGTCTCCACCACTCCGACTCCGCCCCTTTCCTTCTCTTCGGTGGGCTCTGCTGCCCGGCGGGAAGAGGGATTTGGTGGTAGGCTCCTCTCTGTACATAGTAGTGGCCCATTTAGCGAAAATCTGTTGGTGCTCGAAGCGCGCGCTCCTGTACGTAAAAATATATTTCAAAGCGTGGAAAATTTTCAAATAAAAATTTAGTGCATACATCTCGACATTATAGGGCTGTTTGGTTTTTAGCCACATCTTGCCAACTTTGCCATATCTCACCTTAGGCAAGTTTGACCAAGTTAATGGATTTTGGTTCTAGCCACACCTAAGGCAAGAATGTTTTTTTATGAGAAGTGAACCTCACATGTTATAGACACAAAAAGTGTGGTAAGATTCACTTAGGCAAGCTAAATTATGACTAACAAGGGCTGTTTGGATTGTGACTATCTTTGCCATATATTGTCACATGATTTTTGCCAAACTTACCACACTTGTCTTAGTTGAGTTGTTCAAATTGTTAACCACGCTTTGGCTTGCCTAAAAAATCTTGCCACACTTTTTGTGTCTATAACATGTGGGGTTCGCTGCTCATAAAAAAATCCTTGCCTTAGGTGTGGCTAGAACCAAACACTTACTTAACTCGGTCAAATTTGCCTAAGGTTAGGTGTGGCAAAGTGTGGCGAGGTGTGGCTGAGAACCAAGCAACCCCACAATTTCAGCAATTCAAGTTAGGCAAGTGTGGTAAAAAATAATATGGCAATATATGAGAAACATAGTGACGATTCAAACAACCCCTATATGTGTGCACGTCAAGTTCCGGAGAAAACCGGCATTTTTTATGTCTTGGGTAAAATAGACAAAAGGATGTCTTGTGAAAAGTATTTTTTAACATCAAATTTTGTCTTTTTCACACGCGACACATAAGTTATTGGTTATTCGCCAAATGATTTTGTGAGCATGTACAATTTCAAGATATACGCGCCAAGTTTTTATTTGACATCAAAATATATTTAAAACACATTTTAAAAACTAGGAGCACGTGTTCCATGTACCGAAACGCCACTCTCCAGATTTAGCTGTAGGTTTGGCCTTGTCCTTGTGGTTTCTGGCTTGGCTGGCTAGGATGGTGATGGTTGGGCACGGATCTGGTAATGGCTCCTCTTCAAATTTACCGCCTACTGTACAGTGTGCAATGACCACCTGCGGACGCACCTACCTACCTACACAGTTATATTCTTTATTGGAGTGATCAAACTATAGACCTCAAAAGATGCAACGCACCCATTTTCTTTAAAACTACTGTAGCTCTATCGTGTCAGCAAAGGAGTGGAGTGGTGCAGACGCGTTCAGTGAGGAGGAGTGACTCACGCCTCCATCTCGAGCGCTCACACGTACGCGAAAGCTCACACAGAGGAGCAGAGGAGACCCTCCACTTCAGCTCTGCTCCGAGATGGCCCCCGTCACCCGCGCCAGGGCACGCGGCGAGGGGGAGGAGGCCGCCCAGGCCCAGATGCGCGCCGACGCGCTGCATCTGATGGCGATCGCCGGGGGGAAGAAAACCCCGATGGAGCTGGGTTCGACATCCGGCTGGAAGACGGGATGGTGGTTTTGGAGCTCGCCAGGGCCGGGCCGTCCTCGCCGGCGCATGATGCGCACGGCGAGGGAGAGGGGCACACCCCGTTCCACGAGGAGAAACTCGTAGCCATGCAGGCGATCGAAGACAAGCAGCTCGCCCAGCTCCAGCTCCGCAGGCCACCGCCGTCGCGTGCCAGGGGCCTCGAAGACGCGATCCAGGAGATGCTCGCCCAGCTAGGCCTCCGCGAGCCGGAGCCAGAGCGGCGCACCACCAACCGCCATCCCTCCCCGCCGTCGCGCATGGAGCTCCACACCATGACCCTCTCGAAGGCGATCCACGAGATGAGCGCGTTCCCCGACGTGCTGTACGAACTCTACTCCTGGGAGTTCTACAAGCCTACCTCCGGTCGCCCAGGCCCATCGACCCGCCGTCGGCGACAAGCGCGGTGCCTCTCCACGTGGCGCAGCTGGGCGCGGCGATCGAGGCCCGCTACCCTTACCTCATGGACGAGGTGGCGAGGCTGGCGAGGTCCAAGACGGCGGAGCAGCGTGAGGCGCTGGGCAGGAGGTTGCTATAGATGGACGCTGCCGCGCTGGGCTCGCTGGAAGATCGGCTCAGGGAAGCCACGCGGGCCGGGAAGGAGGCCATGGTGGCCAAGCTGCAGTCGGAGCTGCGCTACGCCAGGGCCAGGGTTCAGGCGGAGGCCATGGTTGAGACCATAAGGCTGCCGCTCCCGCTCCCAACCAGAAATGATTTACGGAAACACTAACGCCCACTGAGACGGCAACTGCAGTTGCGCACACGTGGCAATCAGATAAACACACATGCAACTGTGATTAACAATACATGATAACTATGGTTGAATCACACGTGGTAACTAGGTAAACACACATGACAACTACTGTTTGACTATATGTGGCAAGTAGTTAATTACACACGACAACTACGGTTTGATTACACGCGGCAACTACCCGAAATTAGACATGGCAACTACAGTTAACCAAAACAGATAGAGTTGTCATGCTTTTACAACTACACTTTCCATCCCGAATAACTAAATCTGTCAACCAGGATGGCAACTAAATTGTCATCCCACGAGGTACCTAACGTAGCCGCGCCAGGACGTGTGGGCATTTTTACTTCGTGCCATACATGCGAGGTGGAGATGAGTAGTACTTATTGGCGTGTGGCACGAAGTAGCCGCGCCCACACGTGTGGGCAATTCTAATGGCTGCCCACACACAACCCATGTGGGCTGCCTCCTGCTTACACTACACACGGTGTGTGGGCGCATGTCGAATATACCACACGTGTGGCAGTTATCGGCGTTCATGATTTAAGCTTAGTACGTAGTATTGGTCAGGCCAAGATGGAATGCTGAGTAATTAAGAGGCATGGTGAAGACCGTGTGTGATCCATTTTGCTGATTCTTGACAGATCTTTGAGCCCTCTTTACATGCAGAAACTTGTAGGTTCACTGAGA